TAAATAGGAGATATTTGGTTAGAAAAGGAGGACTGTGGACAAGTGTTACACTTTATTATGGAATTATAAGAGCAAAAAACCTTCAAAAACACACGATTAATGTGGCCCACGTTAAATCAATGAAGTGTTTCATATTGTAGGTTAAGTTTAAAATGTCTGTGATGCTTCTTAAAGGAAGAATGTGTGACTTTTTGATCCAGTAGATGTCGCCCTTCAGCGCCAGATATATTTATGTGGAACATGTCGCACATTCTGCCTTTAAAACAAGTAAGACACAACAAGTAAATCAGGGCTTTATTATGTCTATGAATGATAACAAATTCTTCTTTTGCTCCGGTATTAATCAGAGCCTGGTCTTCCTGATGACGCCTGCAGCTTCATGTTTCTGTGTGTAGGGACTGAGGAACATCCCACACACAGAAACACCACTGTTCCCTCTGACAGAACAGAAACATCTGGCAGAAAACATGGAGGACACCTGGGAGCTCCGGTCTGTTCAGCACAATCAGACGAATGGGACACCTCCATCTCCTTCATGGGTGGTCCACATTTGTTATGCTTTCACCTCCTCTCTGCAGCTCCAGTCAGAGATTTACGGTTTAGAGAAAAGCTGCAGCGATCAGGGAGCAGGAGGGAGATATTTCAATAATGCAGCAGCCTCCTGTGGGGCTCACAGCGGGAGAACCACAACACATCAGTGGGATTTATCTCCGCTTTAAAGACCGGGGCCTTTTCTCTGAGGACACAAAGGCTATCAGGTTTATACAGACAAATATACAACATCATTCAGTTTTAGCTGAAGGTTTTTTAACAATTAAACATGTTAAATGTTAGCAGAGGTTTCTCAGTGTCATCTCCTGCAGGCAGTGAAGTTGAAAGATGTTAACGTCTTGCAGTTCCTCCAGTATCCACTAGAGTCTGTCTCCTGCCGTGAGTCAGGCTCCCGAGCGCAGAGCCAGCGCGTTTCTTACCCGAAAAACGTTACATGACCACAGGGCCGAAGAGGTGTTTATTCTGATAGCATCCTTAGAATGCAGTTCATGTTTTTGAAAGATTTCCTCCCTTTTTACTACATATCCAAATCAAGCAGCAACCTCAGGTGTTGAAAAATGAAGCTGATGCTGAAGTTTAAAATCCTGCAGTTCCTCGACTGTCCACTAGGGGCTGGCTGCAGAAGCACAGGAAGTCACATACACACCCATTCTAAAAAGCCTGTTTTTACAGCAGAGATTAACATGTTTACAGCCTGGTTAAAAAAACAAATAGGTCTGATTAGCTCATGTCTCGATGGACACACACTGTACGGGGGTGGTGAATGTTTTGATGACTCATCAATTTTAATTTAATGAAGGATAAGAGTTATTCACAATAAGGCGTGTAGCTGACCTGATTGACAGGTGGGCGCGGTGTAACGGTTTGTCAGGAGGTTTAAAACCCGCCTCAGCTCCAGCTCTCAGCCTGTCGTTAGGTTGACTGAAAGTTAGACTGAGACAGCATTTCCAGCATGGAGACCGCCATCGATGGGACTCCAGCGCCCCCTGCAGGAACAGACGGGGGACGTCACTCAGGCTTCAAACATTCATATTTACAGTCTGTGGTTCTAATGTGCCTCTGTGTCATACCAATTTTTGTTTGATAAGAAGGAGCAGATCGTGTGGCTACATGAAGCAGCTGTTTGTGTCGAGAGAAGAGAGACGTCGGAGCTCACAGACAACATGAAATATTTCAGAATCTTTATTTTATCTTTCTAACACAATCAGCTGTGTTTCACTCTGACAACTTTAATCCCGTCTGTCAGCGAGGAAATTCAGATTCCCGCAGCATCTCGTCACCTTGACAGAAAACTTAAACTGTGTCTTCGATGCGGAAATCTTGTGTGGCGGTGAGTTTATTCTGAGCGTGCTCTGTCTCAGTCCATTAACCCGGGGCGTGTTTTTCCTGTCACCTGTCTGCAGGTGTGTGATGTGTGAACTGTGACAGGCCTCAGGCGGAGCTGCAGGCGTGAAGGGCGCAGGCAGGGGAAGGTCGTCCTCTGGGGTTTGAACCGACGGGGGGCAGATTTGTGTCTCTGTGATTGAAGGAGGGATGGAAACACTGCACTCACTTTGATGTTTCAGCTCAGATTCTTTTCTTCAACGGACTACAGACGAGGAAGTGCTCGCAGCACGGTGGCGTTCACGCTGTGTGTGCACAAATTTGTTTGTTCCCTGATTAATGACATTTATTCATGTGGACTCGAAGGTGGATCCACTGAAAACATATTTGTAGTTGCAAAGACTTGTAAGCTTGCTGCTTTAAACCGAACAGAGCCACCATGAGCTCTCCCATCCCGACAGCGAGCCCCGTCAATCAAAAATGTGACCTCGTTAATCCGTTAACAAAGTCAGAAGACGTGAGTTCTTCAGAGGCCGTGATGAAAGTACACACGTGTCTGTGTTGAAAGATCTACAAATAATAGAAACTTGTTTCATACGTCACAATTTTTTACTTTACGAGACTCGCATCAGGCCACGCCCCCCTCCCAGATCAGGAGTAGGGCCTGAAACCTCACAGGTGAGCTCAGGCCTGCTGACTGGTAGATTTAACACGTGAACCCGGGTTGATGGGAGACTCCGACCACAATCCGGCCGAAAGTCGTCGACTGTTTGAACGCTTTAATCTGAAATATCTGCTCAGGAAGTCATTACAGTTAGACGAGTGTGTTCACCCCAAATCATGAACACACACACAAGACGTCCTTCATCACAGACGACAGGAAACAGGTTGCACACAGACACACACAGACACACACACACACACAGAGTCCAGAGCAGTGAGGTCATCATGTCAAACTTAATGTAATTTGACCTTACAATGAGCAGCGTTGGATGTTCAGACAGGAAGTTGTGTGTGTGTGTGTGTGTGTGTCTCCCTGCTCAAACATGGAGCTTTGTGGATGAGTGAAAACTCCAATTTAGACCATAAAGCAGGGGAGGATTTAGGGCGGGTCTTCCTGTGATTGACAAGTGTTTCCATGGCAACATGAAAAAAGTCTTCATTTGTTGTACAAGACATTTTGATGAGTTGGTTGTTTTCAGTAAGTACATTTTGTTAACGCATGTTTTAGCCTTTAATTAGCATCCAAATCACATTATCAGAGGACTACAAATGCACCTAGCTTACTAAGCTAGTGTTAGCTGATGACTCAGCTTTGATGAAGCTGTCCAGCGTCTCACAAACAGTCTGTGGTTCCTGCCCGAGTATCACTGTAGAAAAGATGGAAGTCAGAAAATCAAGAACTCGGTACATCACTGTTGAGAAAGACGGAATGACATCACACACAAGTTTACTGCGTTCAAGTCGCGAGTTGGCAACAAGTCGGACAAGCAACATGGCCGCCTCGAGGAGAACCATTATTTGTTAGCTAATACCTGACGATAACGATACACTACACCACCACAAAAACACGTCCACAGATAGAACTTCAGTGTCAGATCAGTGTGATAGATTTAATTCCACTAAAAGAGGACGAAGCTGCTGATGCACACAGCAGCTCAAACATTACTGTTGAAGCACGTAGCAGCCATGTTGGATTTGAACTTGGACTACTGAAGGTTCTCCGAGTTTCATCAGAATCATCATCTGAACTTTATATCTGTCTTTATGTATTCATTTATCTTTTTCATTCTTTTTAGATTATTGCAACATTTTTTATTTGTGTTGTTCTTTATGAGTTCATGTCATGCACAAGATGCTACAAAACCTGTGTGTGTGTGTGTGTGTGTGTGTGTGTGTGTGTGTGTGTGTGTGTGTGTGTGTGTGTGTGTGTGTGTGTGTGTGTGTGTGTGTGTGTGTGTGTGTGTGTGTGTGTGTGGGATCCCACATGTGAGTGTTGGCAGAGATCTCTGAACATTTTGCTGAAGGCAGCAGTTGGAGGTGTGTGTGTGGGACAGACGTGGAGAGTCGCTGTGGTTCTACAAACAGAATGAATCTGTGTGTGTGTGTGTGTGTGTGTTGTGTGTGTGTTGTGTGTGTGTGTGTGTGTGTGTGTGTGTGTGTGTGTGTGTGTGTGTGTGTGTGTGTGTGTGTGTGTGTGTGTGTGTGTGTGTGTGTGTCCTGTGCTTGTTTAGGCACATCTATGTGCAAAAATTCAGAGTCCGCGGAAGCATTAGCTGCATGTAACGCTCGGTTCTAGCCCCCCTTGATAAAAATTTGTCAGTGTGACATCTTGTCAGTGTGAGATCACTGATCTAAGCCCATTGGCTCGTTGTGGCAAGCCCAGCAGCTCATGTTGAAATTTCCGAGTAGCGTGCTGAGCAACTGACCAATAACGACAGAGCGGATTAGCAGACCAATCAGAGCAGACTTGGACCACGTGGGGTCTAACAGTGTGGGCTCAACAGAGTGTAGCTGACGGACTCAGAGCGTAGAGGGAGCAAGGAGGAGCAGTTCATGAAAACAGACAGTTTTTCGGACTTCATCTATTGTGAACGTAGCGTGGGGGTGTGTTGTCACATGTGGCTTCCCCTTACTGAACATTCTGGATGGAAATTCAAGGATGAAAACAAAAAGAGACGAGTGACAGAAAGAGACCAGTATCAGAGACCAGTATCAGAGACCAGTATCAGAGACCAGTATCAGAGACCAGTATCAGAGACCAGTATCAGAGACCAGTATCAGAGACCAGTATCCGGTCTGTAGACACAGAAAGAGACCAGTATCAGAGACCAGTATCCGGTCTGTAGACACAGAAAGAGACCAGTATCAGAGACCAGTATCTGGTCTGTAGACACAGAAAGAGACCAGTATCAGAGACCAGTATCAGAGACCAGTATCAGAGACCAGTATCAGAGACCAGTATCAGAGACCAGTATCCGGTCTGTAGACACAGAAAGAGACCAGTGACAGAAAGAGACCAGTATCAGAGACCAGTATCCGGTCTGTAGACACAGAAAGAGACCAGTATCAGAGACCAGTATCCGGTCTGTATGGGTCGATGGAAACAAAGAAAACAACAAACAGAGTCCTGTAATGAGTTTATTGTCAACATGAAATCAGTTGAATGTTGTGAGTACACGCGGACGTCTCCAGCTTTCTCACAGAAGTTCATGGAGTTATAAAGAATCCTTTAGGGTCTTCTGATTGGTTACAAAGGTTAAAGGTCAAAGGAGAGTTTTCATACAGACTGTACATCGAGACAGAAACAGGACGGAGGACTTAAACATTATAAAAACAACACGACCGCCACGGAGTCAAAGTTTAAACACATTTCAACAAAAAATATTATTTCAGCTCCAACATCGTCTCTCGTCGTCTCTCTGTCGGCGGTTACGAAGAAACGTTTTACTCGTTCAGGTTAACGTCGGACAACAACTAAAAGTCTCGTTTTAATTTGGCTCTTCGGATGATTGTAAACCGGGAGCGATTCTCTCAGGGCGGTGTCACATCAGGCACGATTGATTCATACCGTGGCCTACACGATTCCTCACCCCCCGTCATATAGTGGGGCACTTCCTGGTTTGAGCACGTTTGCGTTCACCTCTCCCGCGGACCGGACTCGAGAACACATGATTTGTGCCTGTCTGAGGACTCAGACACGGTGCCTGAGCACGGTATGTTTGTGTTCTCACTGATTTAATGAACCGGACTTTGGGGTCAAGCGTACTTCGATCCGGATCCGGGCCCGGGTCCCTGATGTGAAACCCCCCTTTCAAAAAAACAGTACCATCCAAACGTTCCTCTTTAGTACCTTATTATTATTTCTGTTAAGAACAAATCAAATGAAAATGAAGGAAACATGAAAAAACGTCCAAAGCTTCGTAAAAAGGAGAGAGAGCGGCCGCTCGAGAAAATGCCGTCGGGATTTAAATTCACAAATTATATACAGAGTACCAAAAACATGTCACAACAACTCAAACGCTGGTGTATAAAAATAAAAAAACACATTATTCAGGCGGGGTTCTCCAGTCGGCAGCTTATTGGTGTTCCTCGCTGAGCCGCAGACGTTAGAGAGGAAAGGTTTCTGTTGGGGTCTTTCAGGGGAACGATGAAGCGGCGCCACTCAGAGGAAACCAGCGAGACCTCAATCTGAGCCTGAAAGACCATTTCCGCAACGTCTGTGCAAGCTGTGTTCTGTGAGAGCTAGGGTTGTAGTCAAGACCGCGAGACCGAGACTGAGACCAAGACCATAAATTTAGATAAAAAAATCATCATCTTGTGTGCAGTGTGTCACTAACTTAGTCCCGGACCGATTTAGAGTACCACAACACTAGTGAGAGCCACGGTTCTGCTCCACAAGATCACGGGAGATCACGCGGGAATACAGAGAACAACATGCTAACAACATGATGCTTTGTCTCTCTGAGGATGATTTGTTGTTCATTCTGTTTTGACGTCATGTTGATGAAGTGATGGAATAAACGATCAGGAGTCTGTTTGTTGTGTTTTATTTTGAAATTAGCAGATTGCCTGACTTCCCGTTTGGGTCGTTCTATTCTGTCCAGTTTGACGCATGCCTGCAGCGAGCTCCGTTGAAAATAGACTCGCAGCGTATTTGAAACGGAGCAGAGCGTAGCGGCGCTGCTGGGACGCTCCAGAGACCGAATAGAGTGGACGCAAAACGGCGCTGACGGACCGCAGCGAGCACGGACGATGTGGAAAATGGCAGTGAGAGCGCTCACCTTGGATTACTCCTCTTTGTCGTATCTTAAGTGCTCCAAAAGAAAAGCGGGAACGGACAGCCGAACACGAAGGCAGTGCCTCAAAGAGAAAACGTCTGAATAAAATAGAAAGCAAACATTATTTTACATTTGGACAAAAAGTTTCACCAAACACAGGCCGGGTAAAAAAAAATCATAAAAACACATTATTTAAACTTCTTCTTCTTCTTCTGGGTTGTTCTGCGGGTTGGTCGGGGAACGTGCAGCTTCAGTATTTTGGCACTTTGGTGTAATCCTCTGTGTGGATGTTTCTGCACAGACACATCGACAGGATCATCCCCAGCAGCTGAAACACACACACACACACACACACACACACACACACACGTTAAATGTATTTATGTAAAATCAGGACAGTACTCATTCAAAACGTAAATATGTAAATATGTCAGACTGTAATCTGAAGGCCCTGACAAAGGTGCATTTGAACAGACCGAAAAGACTACAGCCGAAAGCCAAGCACCACGTACGTTCTGAGCATGCGTGAGAAGAAATAAACCCCCATGCCAGCAGGGGGCGGTAGTCTGTAATCGTCATTCCAAAAAGGGGAAATAGGAAGCGGACGAGGACGGAACGTTTTCACACCACTGTCGCTCAACACATGTGATTGGTGCAGACAGACAGGGTGAATAGACACTCCAGTAAGTCCCCCCCCCCCCCCAGTCCAAAAGGTCTAGACACGCCCCCTGAGGTACTGCAGCCTGTAGTAAAGTCTTACAATAAGAAGTTCATCCTGGACGGTCTTGGTGGTTATGTATTTACTAATGTGCTCCTCAAACTGCTCTTCATCTTTGCCTGGCCCTCTTTGTGGGTGTAATTACCCAAAGAGACCACATGAGGGCGCCATTGTGTCAGTGCTCAACATAAAGTCAAAGTTTGTTTTGAAGAATTAAAGAGTGTGGGCCGTCGGTGGTCTAGTGGTTAGTGTGCACGCTCCATGTACAGAGGCATGTTGTCCTCCCATACCCTTGTTAAAGTCAGGGTTGGTAATTTCCTCCAGATCCACTTCCACAAGATTTTAGTTGAAATTGTCTTTAGGTCCTGACAGAAATTAATAACTCATGTTGAAAATCCGTCATCAACACTTTGACCAATGTCTGCCATGAGGTACCAATCTGATGAACCAATCAGGCGCCTCCCTGTCTCCCTATTCGTTCTCTAACCCTTACGTACTCTAGCCCACACTCAAAGCATGAGGTCCCCTGATTAAATATTCTGTCATAGAAACACGTTGTGATGATTCAGAAGCTCAGAGTGTCAACGAGTGAGCGAGCAGCTGTACCTCAATGAAAGCGACTCCGAGGCAGATCCCGAGGACGACCCCGATGTTTGTGAGCAACCAGCTCTCCACGCTGTCAGCACAGCCCTACACACACACACACACACACACACACAGAGGTTACCACAGCTGTAGTAAACAGAGAGCGTGTGCATCAAATAAAACAGGAGTGTGTTTTTTACCGTGCTGTAGACGGGCCAGTCGGGCGTCTGAGCCTCGCAGAATCCGCTTTCGGAGAAGTTACCGGAGGACACGGAGACGTTCTGACAGGAGCACGGAAACAAGAGGCGGGAACTGTTCACGATCACCATGTTCCCGTTCCAATCGTTACCACCGTTCCACCCACAGCACTCCATCTACAGAGGGGGCGAGAGAGAGAGAGAGAGAGAGAGAGAGAGAGAGAGAGAGAGAGAGAGAGAGAGAGAGAGAGAGAGAGAGAGAGAGAGAGTGAGTGTTGAGCGTTTTCACAACAGGTGAGTCTTGTGAGTAATCTTGCAGGTCAGATACTATTCGTTTGGTGAGATCTCACGTTTGATGTTTCCTTGTTTCACACGGATCTTTTTGCCGCAGGGTTTCACTCACCTTCCTCTGGATAAAGTCCCAGGCCTGCTCCGTGGTCGAGTTGTTCCCGGGGTAGTCATCCAAAACCTTGGTGACGACCTTTGACATCTCCCCGTGGAGCTGGAAGAAAACAAAGAAGAGTTCATGAATTAGATCTCATGGTATTTCGTCCCTTCAGGCTCTCCGTAGATAGTCATCCTCAGTGCCTTCCTGTAGTCTCAGTGATGGAGAAGAAGGACACTGCTGCGTCTTTGAATGTCTCATTTCACTTTGACAAACTCTCAGACAGCTCAGCTGACGAGTCCATAGTAATATCCACTTTATGACATCACACATTGATCTTGTGACAATCACACATTGACCTTTGTTACCGTTCCTTTAAGCTGTTTTTTATTGGTTTCATTTTCCCTGGTTAAGTTAATGTCATTACATTCGATCTGCTGGAAGTTCCTTATAGGCTTTCAAAATAAAAGTCTTTTATCCAAACAAGAAGTAAATAAAACTTAAAGGTCACATATTCGCCTTTTCCTCTCCACACAGCTCATTTACATATTTAAAGGGACAGACACAGAAACAGCCTGTTCTGAGCAGGGCTGAAATAGAGGGGTTTATAGACATGATCAAATACAGGATCAGAGTGGATTTAGAACAAGAATCTCCACACACATGTTTTGAGGAGAGCTGAGACTTATTTACACTGAAGAGGAGGAGAATATGAGACTTTTAATGTTCTGTATCGATTGCTTTTTCTTTCCTTTTCTAATAGTCGTTGTGTAACACATTCATATCTGCAGGTCAGAGGAGATGCAGACAGAAGAATGCAGTCAGTTTGGATCCTGAGACGAGAACAGAATCCCGTCTGCTGATAAACACGTCGTCATGAACTTCTCCTCGTCTGAGAGCTTAAAAACACAACCGCCACTTTGATGCCGGCACGTTGGCGTCATGTCGGCGTCATGTCGGCGTCATGACTTTATTAATGAAGGCTACAATTATCTTTTATTCACAGCGTGTTGTTTTTCTGATGCACTTGCTTGTTGTATTGACGGCGTGTTGTGAAACATCCTGGGTGTGACCTCGACCAATCAGAGGACGGAGGTGTGTCAGTAACAGGTGTGCTGCACATGTTCACATTCCTTTAATCAGAATCACCACAAGACCAGCAGGCAGGAGGATGAACTCCCATGATGCACCTGTGCGGCATGCACGCTGTGAGGGGAGGAACAGGAAGTGACATCACTCACCACGTCCTTCTGGAAGTAGATGAGGGCGCCGGCTGCAATCTGAGCGATGAGGATGAGGACGAGGCAGGTGAAGTACTGAGGAAGGACACAAAGAGAGGAAACATGTTCACAGAGCCAAATCACACCTGATCACACCTGAACTCACCTGAACTCACCTGAACACACCTGAACACACCTGATCTCACCTGAACTCACCTGATCACACCTGAACTCACCTGATCACACCTGATCACACCTGAACTCACCTGGTCACATCTGATCAAACCTGAACTCACCTGATCTCATCTGAACTGACCTGAACTCACCTGATCACATCTGAACTGACCTGAACTCACCTGATCTCACCTAAACTCACCTTAACACATCTGATCACACCTGAACACACCTGAACTCACCTGAACTCAGCTGATCACACCTGAAAACCCCTGAACACAGCTGACTCAGAGTAAATGCTTATAAACCCAAACAGGTTTTAATTTGATTATTTTCACACACTGGAGTTTATTTCTACCTGATGGCACTCACCGTCCTGCTGACACAAACACACCTGGATTCATCACTTACTGCACGCATCACTGACACTGACATCTTCTGAAGGAGTCACAAACACACACACACACACGCACACAAACACACACACACACACACACACACACACACACACACACACACACACACACACACACTCACCAGGCCGAGCAGACAGCGGATCTCATAAATGGCTCCCAAACAGCCGAGGAAGCTCATGAGCATGGAGAACGCTCCGACCCCGATCAGGATGTAGCACGCCACCTTCACAGCTGTGGAGTTATCTGAGGGGAGACGACGGAGAGGAGAAATCAGACACACACAAAACACGTCAACACACGTTTCTTCTGCAGGACATCAACATACAAAACATTTCAACAGAGAGCACGAGCTGATTTTACCCCCCCCCCCCCAAAAAAACAAAACACTTCCATTCACTTTTATCCTTTGACCTGCATTCTTCTAACGTCCAGCAGGGGGCATTAAACTAAAGTCTGATTGATGAAATGTTCCTACTTCTCAGTTGACTTATTCCCTCAGGAAACATTTTCCTAAATTACTTTATGTTCTCAATCTCTAGTTTGAAGACTTCTTCAACACAGCAGGATGTTCATTTAGTAAAAGATGGTCCCAATTAGAGTCAAAGAGGCAAGAAAATGGGGAGGAGTTAGGGGCGGGGCTACCTGTTTCCTTAATGTCTGATCATATAGTAAGGTCACTTTATCATTTCAGTCTCTACACATCTCACTGATAGGACCTTTAAAGAATGACAGAAATTAGAAGCAAATGTCAGTCTGCAGAATTCCTCTGTGATCAGGGTCCAGCGTAACGCAGGAAGCTGTAATAAGCTGCAGACACACTTTAATCTCGGGTCTGGTTCAGGGTTAAATTCGTCTCTGTGTGGAAAGAGAACGACTCATCTAAAACTGAGATCAGATTTCATTTGATTCATCACATCCAGTCTCCAAAAATAAACATAAATCTGCTCTTCATTGAGAACGAGCAACCTGCTGGAAGAAACGCGTCAGCGTGTCGATGTCCGCCAACGCTTCAAAGACTGAACCCGCTCTCCTCAAACAAAATGAGTCCTCAAGGCACCATAAGGATATCCCAGAGGGATCAGTGAACCAGGACACACAGCTCGAAAACAAGACAAGGAAAACGAAGAGAGTTATTGATGGAAAATTAGGGAAGAAGGGCAGGTAATTAAAACCTGCCTGTGTGTGTGTGTGTCATTACTACAGTGGCCCTGAAGGTGAAACACTTTCTTAAAAAGTTAAACACAAAAACATCACGAAACACAAAAAAATTCAGGCTTACACAAAAACATTTAGTCAACAAAAGATTATTTCACAAAATGCTAAATAATTCGTACATCACTTAAATAAATGAATGAAACTTGTATCTCGTATCCAAGTTTAAAATTGTAATATCATGATGACTCTACTTTGAGGTTTGTTTACAACCCGTCAGTCGGTCTGAGTCACATCAAACCAGACGAACACTTCATTTATCAGATACGAGATGATACCAGAGCAGAAAGCAGCGCTTTCTCACTTTCAGTAGCTGATTTCATCGCTCACACACATCATTGATTCACCTCAGAGATCATCTACTGCAGCCCATAACAGCACACACACACACATATATACACACACACACACACACACACACACACGCTCTCTCTCTGTTTATAAAATGTTCCATTGAGCATCAATACTTCTCATTTATGCTCACACACAAAGCTAATCTGTCCACTGTTAACTTGACCCACAGCGCTGCATCGTTACTGCTGTATGACGCACTCCTGACATCGACCATGTCCCGCTCACACCATCGCTCTGACCGCTGTGTGTGTGTGTGTGTGTGTGTGTGTGTGTGGTGATGAGTAAGGCGGTGAGCGCACTGGGCTGATGTGATGCATGTTGATGCTGAACAGAGCAGAAAGAGGCCAGTGTGTGAGGGAGGACACCTGCAGGGAGGGACAAATGTCCTCAGTGACACACACACACACACACACACACACACACACACACACACACACACACACACACACACACACACACACACACACACACACACACACACACACACACACACACACACACACACACACACACACACACACACACACACACACACACACACACACACACACACACACACACACACACACACACACACACACACACACACACACACACACACACACACACACACACACACACACACACACACAGTGTGAACACTTGTTGAGTCGTCTCTGAGCCGCTCTGTCTCGCTGCTCGTCTCCTTTTATTCTCTGATGATAAACTCAGACTGTCACTGATTCAGACAGAAAACTTCACACAGTCTGACGGACATTTTCTTTATTTCTATCAGTGAGAGGAGCCGTTACTAACGGATCCTTTGAATGCGTTCTTTAAGCTGCCTACACACCAGACGATTTTCAATCTTAACTCATTTAAGCATGAAGACCACAGACATCAGGACAGTTTCAAACAAATCCTCAATGATCGTTTATTTGGCTCTTTGTGTTCGAGTGTTTCATTTGTTCCTTTTCTTCATGAAGTTTAACGCTGAATTCACACCTGAGCCGTTTGCTCAATTTGAAACAAACTCTGGTGATCTTTGTCGGATAGTTTGTTTGGTTTTTGGGGATGTGAACGCTCAAACAAACTCTAGTGCGGACCAATAAAAACTGAGCTCTTGTCTGCTTGAAAAGGGGGGGCAGGGGGGGTCTTGATTCGCTTCCAAGTGCAGCAGAGATCGGTTCACTGTAGGCGAGAATGTGTTCTGAACAAAACAGCAGTGCATTGTGGGTCGTCTGTAGACAATATCAAGTAGGTTTGACGAGCGTGGCTAACGTTAGCATTGCTAACAGCACCAGCCTTCAGTCCCTGCAGGTTAACGTCAACCTGTGCTAAATGTTAACCCGACATTTTATAGTTTTAAAAAGTGAAGAAATGCGCCGCACTACAGGACGCCATTCTTCCACTGTCCTGTTGTGTACTGTGGGGTCATAGTTCAGCTACTGACCGGACAAACAGCCCCAACTAGTGGCGGGAGGCTACATTGGGGCGGCAGGGATTAATAAAGGATAAAATAAAAACATTACACGACATCTGACGGGGTCTGGTGCGCTTGACGTTCAGTGTGAAAGAAAAGAGAACTGGAGCTGCAGTTTGTGATCTTTAACTCCTTCCCCCTGCGAGGACGTGATGATGAAGAAAGAAACAGAGGAAGAAAAAAGAGGATAACAAAGTCAGAGAGATTTATGAGAGGCTCTTAGTTTAAACTGAAACCAGACAGAAGGAGGAAGTCTGCAGGACACCTGTGTTCATCAGCCTCATGTGAGCCTTTAATAACGACGCGGCTGCGTGTTTGACACTCGTCTTCCTCCGGTCATTAAGCGTCTGATAACTGAGCTGTGACGCAGATAACCTAAGAATCTAAACACACTAAATGCAGACAGACAGCAGCACAAAAACGGACGGACAGGATTTATATATCGAGCTCTGCAGACGCACAAATCCACAGATTCTGCAGAAAGTTCATCAACATGCTCTGAGGTCACAGATGAGGGATGAATCCTTCTGGTTTAATCATCACAAATTAATCAAAGAGGGAGTTTCTCATCCGGTATCTGTGTCTCTGCTGCTCCGCTCTATGACACAGCCCGCCAGGAGGAGCTGCGTGTAAACTCCCTCTGTTTGTTTTTATTAGCTTAGCCAGCTTACGTTAGCATTCCTTCAGAGGTCATCGTGCACGAGGCTCGTAAAGAAAGCAAAATGACCCACGATGGATTCAAACGTCTACGTCTACATACGATGGATTTATTGATTTCTTCGTATCAAACCTGAGACAGACGACTTCCTGCAGCCGGTGAAGCTGCTAAACACGAGACAACGATGACACCGCTAACGATACAGGCTAACGTCTTATCTTCCTCCGTCTCCGTCCTCTTCCTCTCGGTCGTCGTATCAAACAGTACAGAGACGGGCTAACTGGCTGCTTTGTAGCTGAAGGCTGCTGTGTGAACTAGCGCCGTAAAGACGTACGCACTTCTCATCAGGCGACGCTGACAAAGTCACATAGCGCTGAAAACAGGCGAGCGGGGACACGAGAGAGACACCATTCTCCCTGTTGGAGGTTATTGTCCTATTAGATCGACTGTTTGAAGGAGGAGGAGTTACAGAGCGGCCTCTAACAGCTCAGGCAGACTTCTGGTTACGTCTTAGAAAGAAAAAAGTAAGTCTCCATTTTTAATCAAAACAAGTTCAGGGACAGATTTCTTTGTGCACGAGGTTTCAGAAAGTAAAATCCTCTGTTTGTATTCTCTTGTTATACTCAGGTTTATTACTGCAGAGCGGCCATGGCATCTCGTCTCCCTCAGCCAACAACATTCTTTCATAGTTTGTCATTTTTAAACATCTCTGATGGAAATAAATCTTTGTTCCAGGTGCCGCCTGTTTCTACTTCTTACACACACACACACACACACACACACTCACACTCACACTCACACTCACACTCACACTCACACTCACACTCACACACTGCCTGCAGTCAGACTGTGGCCTGTTTTAAGTTTGCAATCACGGCTCCATTTGTGTCGTCCTACATGAGCTCTACAAGTGGATTACAGTCATCAGAACGCTGAGATCCAGTCTGCAGAGCTGCTTCCAAC